TTTTGGGGAAAGGTTGTTTTAGCTGTCTTGGATTTTCAGGGGATCCAAAACTCTCCCTTCCTCCCCATACATGGGGGGGGGGGGGGGGGATTCTGTGAGGATTCTGATCAAGACCAGAAGGGTGTGTGTGTGTGTTAAAGTCCCTTTTTGTACCTGTGCCCGCTGTCTCTGGCCCAAAGCCTTCCCAGTTTCCTGGCTGACCTCTGGGGCGGATGGTTTCCCTTTTGGCCCCGCCCACTCCATCTGAATCTGAAACGTGAAACCCAGGCATGGAGAAAGAAGGGAGGCTGGGCTGCCAGGGAATTGAAAGCGAAACCTATCATCTCGGGCCCCTGTTAGGTGGCTAAGAGCTGGGTGGCGGCAGCCCGTGGGGAGGGGAGGGGAGGGGTGGTTATCTGACAGGAGGAGCTCTAGCCGAGCATCTCCCCCCCCCCCTTTCTGCTTCCAGGTCGCTCGGAAGGAGTCCTCCCGTTGCTCATAGTCCCGGTGGGGGTGGGGGGAGTGGTCCAAGATCTTAAAACTCTCAGGTCGGGAGCAAGAGGCTCTCCCTCCCTCCCTCCCTCCCTCCCTCCCTCTTGGTCCCTCGCAATCACTACAATGCCCCCTTCTTACTGGGGTGGAAAGAAGAGAGGTAAGTGCAACTGACCGAAGTTCTCCCCCCCCCCCCTCTTCCCACCCGCCTTACAGCCAGGCGGCTTTCCCTTTCTCCCTCCTCCTGTTTTGTTTAAGTTTGTTCCTAAGGCGGCTGGACGGAAAAACTCAGCCCCAGGACCTTCCGAGCAAATGGGGGGGGGGGGCTTGAGGTTCGGTTCAAGGGGTGGCTGGGTTGAATGGCAGGGGTCCACAGGTCCCCCACGGCCACCAGCGGGGGTCGGGAGGGGTAGGGTCGCCAGATCCAGTTTGGGAAAGTTTTGGAGATTTGGAAAAGGTCGCCAGAGGACCTTCAGCGGTTTACGATGCCCTAGAGTCCACCTTCCGAAGCAGCCATTTTTCTCCAGGGGAGTTGATCTCTGTAGTCTGGAGATGAGCTGTAACTGCAGGGGATCCCCAGGTCCCACCTGGAGACTGGCATCCCTGCAAGGGCTTATGTGGCTGGCCGAGCCACCCGCCTCTGTAATGGATCTCCGGCAGTGCTGCTTGGAGACCCAGGCCGGGTTCCGGGCTAGGTGCCAGCGGGGCTCGGGCCAGTGTTGATGTAAATGGGCCTTTGCTCCACGATTGTGGGCTCGAAAATGGAACGCCTGGTTCCTTCGCCGCGAACCATAGCTGAAAATATCCAGGATGCCTGGGCCATGAGTATTCTCAGCGTTTGGTGGCATAGTTTCGATCCCGGCTTTCGCGTGTTTTTTCTCAGCTGGGCACTGCGGGTATGCCTTGGTTTCTTAGGGGGAGTTTAGAGTTGGGGTAGGAGCGCCCAAAGATCAGTAGTCACGAAACTTGCTGAACGACTTGCGCCCAGCGACAGGTCCTTTCCCTTACCTATAGCATGGGGCTGTTTGTACGAATAAATTGGGAAGGGAGGAAACCACGTATGGGGAAATGGCACCAAATCCCAGGTATTAGGGTGAAAAATAAAATCCCCACCTGGTTTTGTGTATGCTGGGTTTGCACTCTGTGAATGCTCAGGGTTTAAGCTCAAACTAGCAGTCTGATCAAAAAGAAAGGAACAGTCCTCCCCCCTCCAGTTCCCCTTTCTCAGTTCCTTCTAACGTCCCTGCTGCTGAGTTTGGTGGAGTGTGACAGACATCACCCCCAGACGCCTGTGTCTCAGCCCCCCTTTCCCCAATCTCAAAAAGCCTATATTGGAATAAATCTTTTGAGTCCAGTGGCACCTTTAAGACGCTGAACTGCAGGCTGTGGAAGGTCGGTAGTTCAGCAGTTCGAGACCCGGGTGCCGCATGATGGAGTGAGCTCCCGTCTCTAGTTCCAGCTCCTGCCAACCTAGCAGTTCGAAAGCAAGAAATTGCAAGTAGATAAATAGGTACCACTTCAGTGGGAAGGGAACAGCGTTCCGTGCACCTTGGTGTTTAGTCATGCCGGCCACATGACCATGGAAATGTCTTCCGACAGCGCTGGCTCTTTGGCTTTGAAACGGAGATGAGCACCGCAACCCTAGAGTCGGAATCGACTGGCTTTCGAGCAAGGGAACCTTTACCTTTACCTTTATAAGCTTTCATGTACTTGTAAGCCTTGAAGGGGCCACTGGGCTTTTATTTGGGTGGCGTAACTGTTCTTTCGGCATTGCGTTCAGCCCAAGAGGGTAAAAGAGAGCCCGGAGAGGTGTGGCCTCAAAGCCTGTGAGCCCTGGGGCTAGTTACTACTGTAAGGATCTGGGGGGGGGGGTTCCCCCCTTCTCTTCCTGGCAGATTTACAGAGGGTCTGTGTACGAATAAATTGGGAAGGGAGGAAACCACGTATGGGGAAATGGCACCAAATCCCAGGTATTAGGGTGAAAAATAAAATCCCCACCTGGTTTTGTGTATGCTGGGTTTGCACTCTGTGAATGCTCAGGGTTTAAGCTCAAACCTGAGTGGTCTGTGGGAGGACGACAGGCTTTCGGGGAGAGGGACAGACGTGGTGAGCAATGCTCCCTCTAAGCTGCGGAGTCTTATGAGCAAAAGTTCTACATTGTGAGCTTACCAGCATTAAAGTTGTGAGTGAACAGTTTGGCTGCTGCATAATTTGGTTTGCTCTGGAGCCCTCCTTCCTGAGCAAAGACAAGAAATGTGTGAGCTGGAGGCGAAAAGAACCTGAGCTAGCTCACACTGACTCAGCTTAGAGGGAACACTGGTGGTGAGGCTTTGCGGGGTCTCTGGAGGAAGCACACACGGGGACGTGGTGTTAAGAGAGGCAGCCAGTCAGATAGGGAAGGAAGGTAGGCCTGAAATGTAAAGAGCCCGAAGAACAAACTGGACCCAAAAAGATTTTCCCCAGTTGAATAAATAACTTACTGGGTTTTGTGTGTGTGTGTGTGTGTGTGTGTGTGTTTGAGAGAGAGATGTAAAGAATTTAAGAAGGACAGGAAGGGAGATGGGTAAAGATGGAACGGCAAAGGGCACAAGGAGCTAGTTTCCTGTAGTCTGGGAAGGGACACTAATTGGGAGTCAGTTTGGTGCAGTGGTTAGGAGTGTGGACTCTAATCTGGGAGAACTGGGTTTGATTCCCCACTCTTCAACGTGCAGCGGCTGGCATGACCTTGGGTCAGTCACAAGTTCTTTCGGAGCTGTTCTCTCAAGGGCAGTCCTCAAGAGAGCTCTCTCAGCCCCACTTACCTCACAGGGTGTCTGTTGTAGGGAAGGGAAGGGAAAGGAGACTGTAAGTCGCTCTGAGACTCCTTTGGGTAGTGAAGGGCGGGATATAAATCCAATCTCTCCTTCTAAGCAAAGGAGTCCTGCCTTATCCACTGATCCTTCCACCCAGATATTCGCACTAAGATCAAGCCCATCTTCAGGGTGGTGTCTTCTCTCTTTATGTACTATAAGTATAACTCCCCGTTAACAAACAACAACTGAGATTGATAGGTAAAAGGTAAAGGTTCCCTTACTCGAAAGCCAGTCGAGTCCGACTCTAGGGTTGTGGTGCTCATCTCCGTTTCAAGGCCGAAGAGCCAGAGCTGTCCGAAGACGTTTCCGTGGTCATGTGGCCGGCATGACTAAACACCAAGGCGCACGGAACGCTGTTACCTTCCCACCAAAGTGGTACCTATTTATCTACTTGCAATTTCTTGCTTTCCAACTGCTAGGTTGGCAGGAGCTGGAACTAGAGATGGGAGCTCACTCCGTCATGCGGCAACCCAGGTCTCTAACAGCTGAACTACTGACCTTCCACAGCCTGCAGTTCAGCGTCTTAACCACTTGAGCCACCGCAGTTGATAGGACTCTGTATTAAATGCCATAGTTGACGTCAATGTTCTCTCTAAGCCGTGGAGTCCTGTGAACAAAAATTCTACTTTGGGAGCTACTGGCATGAGAGTTGTGAGCGAGCGATTTGGCTACGGCATAAATTAGCTTGCTCTGGAGCAATCCTTCCTGAGCTAAGACAAAAATATATGAGCGACAGGCTAAAAAACTGTGAGCTGGCTCACACTAACTCAGCTTGGAGGGAACACTGGTTGACGGCACTGAGAGATTGGCCCTATGTGCGTTTCCAGCGTCACCATCCTCAGGGAGGAGAGGAGGAGGAGGAGATTGGATTTATACCCCGCCCTTCACTACCCAAAGGTGTCTCAGAGCGGCTTACAAACTCCTTTCCCTCCCCCTCCCCACAACAGACACCCTGGGAGGTAGGTGGGGCTGAGAGAGCTCTTGACAGAAACTGCTCTTTTTCAAGAACAGCTGTGCCAGAGTTATGGCTTGCCCAAGGTCATCCAGCCAGGTACTAGTGGGGAATCAAACTCAGTTCTCCCAGATTACAGTCCGCGCACTTAACCACTACACCAAACTGGCTCTCCTTGTCCCTTAACAAACTGCTTGGCCTGCATAAGCACCCTATAGCCCATCTCTGAGCGAGGGACACAGACTTGGCCCTTCCATGATCTAGGTAGGGTGACTATAATTCTCCCCATTGGCAAGGCCGCTCAAAGCTGGGCTGTTCCCTCTTCTAGGGAAGGCTGCAGAATGTCCGGACACCTGTTGGAAAGATGGCAGGAGGAAAGGAGCATCGCATTTGCTCCTGTCTGTTCGTTGCCTGGCAAAGTTCCAATCAATTTGAACTTACCTTGAAGGAGAAGCCGCACCAGTTCGGTCCTGGGGGGGGCTCCTCCTCGTCCCCAGAGCCTCTGAGAGCAGCATTTTAGTCTCTGAAGAAGAAAAGAGGTGTCCGCATCGTCAGCGTGGGTCTCTCAGCCACGAGCTCGCTGCTCTGTCACTAGGGAAGTCCTTGCCGCTTGGTGCCATCTTGGAACCGATAGAGAGGCTGGTCAAGTGTGGCAGCTGGGGCTGTACGGAGCATGTAACCCATGTCTGAAACATGCCTAACTCTCTTTGTGTCTTTTCTTCCAGGTCGTGGCTCAGCAGCACCCGCAGGAGCAACTCACGGCTCTTTCTCCGCCGGCGCGCGAGTGCCCCCTTTCTCCCTCGCGCCCCAGCAGCACGCTATGAGCAGAGGTGTCTCTCAAAGCAGAGGTTCATATCAGGCACTCCCCAAACCCAACGGCCACCCTCACCCAGCTTTCTTCAACGGCCCTCTTTCCCCGCTGGCAGGAGGCCTCACCGATTTCCAGAGGCAACAGGTCCTCTTCCTTAAGGGGCAGCTGCATGAAGCCCCGCTGTGGCAGTGCCAGGAGCAGAGACCCCAGGCGTTTCAAGGCTACCGCGCAGGTCCCAGACCCTCCAGCCCACCCGCTCCCCCGGGCTTCTGCAACGACTGCCACGGCACAGTCAGAAGGCCTCCGTATAACAGTCTGAAGGAGCCGAGCCAGCATTTCCAACCTCTGCCACGCCACAGCAGCAGGAACTTCGCGGGCAAGCTTGATGGGGTCGTGTCTCGGTTCCAGGAGCTGACTGTTACCAGCCCGGAGGTTGAGCAGCGGCTGCTAGAAATCTTACGGCAGCTGGAGCCCGGGGTCACCGAAAGCGCCCGCCAACTCGCCCATAAGCTCCACATCAAAAAGAAGGAGGTCAACCACCACCTCTACAGGCTCCTGAAACAAGGGAAGCTGTGCAGAATTGGGGAGCTCCCCCCTCTGTGGAGATTGGCTGATAGCCCTAACCCCCGGGGCGCAGCTAGAGAAGACCCTCGCGCCAGCCAGGGGATTCTGTGCAGACCTCCGGCCGCCGGGTCCCCCGAGCAGAGCTCCGCCACTGATTCGGAAGACGATTCCGATCTGCCCGTCATGGCCGAGGCCAAGGAGAAGATCTGCAACTACCTGTTCAGCGTCCAGGAGTCCATCACAGCGCTCAACCTTGCCAAAAACATTGGCTTGTCCAGGGCCAAGGAGGTGAACTCTGCCCTCAATGCCCTGGAGAAGGCCGGAGATGTGTGCAAGGAGAACACCTTCCCCCCAAAGTGGTCCCTCACCGACAGCAAACGTAAGTCCATGCAGCACAAGCTGAAGGCCATGGAGGTCCGGGAAACGGCCTCGCCCGTCCCGGATCCGGTCCCGGAGGCTCCAGCCCCCGCCGCAAACCAAGAGCCGCCTGCAACTGTGCCAACTCCTCCTCTTCCTTCTCCTCCTCCTCCTCCTCCTCCACTGCAGGAGGGCGAGGCAGAGAAAGTTGAGAACGGGCAGCAGCTGTCCGAGCCGGCGGAGCCGCCGGGAGATGGTTCTGCTCACCGGTACGGCCCCCCTCGCAAGAGAGCCAGGTACCAGTGGTTCCACAATTACGACGACTACTTCGAGAACGGCAAGTGGGCCACGGACGACATCCCGGAGGACCTGAATGCCATCGGCAACCAAGACGCGTCGCGTTGCATCATGGAGTCCCCCCTGTCCCCCAGCTACACGGCTCAGTTCGACACGGCTTTCCTCAGCACCCCTCTGGAGAAGCTCATGGCCTGCCAGCAGAAGAACCCCGTGAGCGGCTTGATCGAGTACACCCAGTACACGTACCAGCACTGCGAATTTGTCCTGCTGAAGCAGAGCGGGCCGTCGCACGAACCGAGGTAAGGGCAGATCTCAGGGACCTTGGGGGGGGTGGGGAGGCTTGCTTTGGAAGAAGTTCTCTGACCCTTTCCGTCGTCTTGTGTAACACTGCTGAGGTGATTACGTAGCCATCTCCCGTCAAGTAACCGTAGAAGTACGTTCCACTGTCCTGGGAGTGTCTCCGTTTAGATTACCAGCTCGTTTCGGTAGTGACTTTTGCTTCTCATACTAGGTAAAGTGCTGGATTAACAGTGGCTTTAATGGACGGTATAGGGCAGGGATGGCGAACCTTTTAGAGACGGAGTGCCCAAACTGCGACCCAAAACCCACTTATTTATCGCAAAGTGCCAACACGGCCATTTATCCTGAATACTGAGGTTTTACTTTAGAAAAAACAACTCATACATTTACTTAAGATGATCCAAACAAAGTAAGGAAAGCAATCCCAAATGCTTTCATTTACTTAAAATTATTTGGCAGAGAATTCGACACTTTCATGATGGTCTGGGCCTGGCTGGGCCGATGGCACGCGTGCCCACAGAGAGGGCTCTGAGTGCCACCCCTGGCACCCGTGCCATAGGTTCGCCACCACTGGTATAGGGCTTTCTGTGCCAGGGGGCAGGCATAGGTCGAGTGGGCAGGTGAGTTGGAGAGGGAAAAGTGAGCCCCGAGAAAAGGAAGTCCTGTTGACTCCCCGAGTTCAGGCAAACCGCGAGAGGGAGAGCAGGAAGGGATGAGCCAGTTCTCTGCTCATGTCCCTTTCTTATATGCCCAGGGTAATGCCAATCACCAGTTTGTGGAATTTTCCTCCAGGCCAGATGGGCCCAGGGACCCTGGAGGTCTTTTGCCATCCTCTGAGCATAGAACAAAGGTCAAGAGGGGGGCAGTGAATTTTCCTGCATCGTGCAGGGGGTTGGACTAGATGATCCTTTGGGTCCTTTCCAGCTCCATGTTTCTATGTTTTGGGGGGTTGTTGGGGGCTTATTTCCTCGCCCAGATAGTGTACACCTCAGAACTAAGAATGAAGCCGCGGGGAAATTTGTTAATCCGGCCACTCTCTCTGCCTGTCTGTGCACCCCCGGCATGAGCGTTATGCGTGAGCAGGCAGAGTTGTAAAGCTTGGTATGGGCTGCTAACTTTTGTGGATTCCACACACAAACACACACATAGGCGTGCACACATTTGCTCCAGCTGCTTCTTTGGAGTTTTTTTGAGCTGGCCGTCAGTTTCTCCCACCCAAATCTGGAAAGGGCTCCTTGGAGAGAGAAAAACCGTGTGAAGGAGAAGAAGGAGAAAGCTGGAGCAAGAATGAATGAATGAGAATCCAATCCCCTGTAGGGGCTGCGAGGGGAAAGGGCCTGCCCTCTGGGTGTTCAGTAGCTTAGAAAATATATTCTCCCCACAAGTCCCTTGTTTTCCTGGAGTCATCCTGTTCTCAGCAGCAGGCATCTGTTGTCTTACGCAGAAGACCTGGAGCGTCCCCCATCTGCCACTTAGAACAGCCAGGGGATTTGGGTTTTATTTCCTATAGGCTCGCTTGGTGGCTCCTTAGAGACACTGTTAAGAAACACACGCAGTCTCTCGCTGTGTTTGTTCCCCCCCCCCTTTTCCAAGCATTGTGCATGGAGGGCTGTGGCTCATTGGTTAGAGCATCTGCTTGGCACGCAGAAGGTCCCAGGTTCAATCCCCGGCATCTCCAGTTAAAAAGGACCAGGCAGTGGGTGATGGGAAAGACCCCTGCCTGAGACCCTGGAGAGCCATAGGGAGGGGCTGTGGCTCAGTGGAAGAGCATCTGCTTGGCATGCAGAAGGTCCCAGGTTCAATCCCCGGCATCTCGAGTTGTAAAGGACCAGGCTTTTAGGAGATGGGGAAGACCTCTGCCTGAGACCCTGGAGAGCCGCTGCCAGTCTGAGTAGACAGTCCTGACTTTGATGGACCGAGGGTCTGATTCAGTATAAGGCAGGTTCATGTGTTCCTGTGTTTCACTGGCCAAAAGCCCCGGGTGCACCACTCAGTGGTACATCAGTCGACTCACTAGATAGGAAAATTGGCCTGGTTCCCACCCCATCTCAGACCAGCATGAAAAGCAGATCCGTTCTTTGCACAAGGCACAGAAAAAGGAGAAGCTCTGAAACACAGAGGAAATACTTCTTTACAGAGGGAGTGTTTAAAACGTGTAGTTCGATGCCAGAGGATGTAATGATGGCCACGGGCACAGACAGCCTTTAAATAGATTCACAGAGGAGAGGTCTGTCAGTGGCCACTAGCCATGGTGATTGAAGGGAACCTCCGCATTCAGAGGCACTAAACCTCTGAATCGCAGAGCCAGGAGGCAACACCAGGGAAAGGCCTCGGCCTCTCTGCCCTGTTGTGGGCCCTCCAGAGGAACTGATTGACGCCACCGTGTGAGACAGGAATGCTGGACTAGATGGACCTTCACTGGTCTGACCCAGCACGGCTCTTCTGATGTTCTTATGAGGGGAAGGCCTCGGCCTCTCTGCCCTGTGGTTGGCCCTCCAGAGGAACTGGTTGAGGCCACTGTGTGAGACGGGATGCCGGACTAGATGGACCCTCACTGGTCTGACCCAGCAGGGCTCTTCTGAAGTTCTTATGAGGGGAAGGCCTCGGCCTCTCTGCCCTGTTGTGGGCCCTCTAGAGGAACTGGTTGAGGCCACTGTGTGAGGCAGGAGGCTGGACTAGATGGGCCCTCACTGGTCTGACCCAGCAGGGCTCTTCTGATGTTCTTATGAGGGGAAGGCCTCGGCCTCTCTGCCCTGTTGCTGGCCCTCCAGAGGAACTGGTTGAGGCCACTGTGAGAGACAGGATGCCGGACTAGAGGGACCCTCACTGGTCTGACCTAGCAGGGCTGTTCTGATGTTCTTTTGAGGGGAAGGTACTACGGCAATTGCTTTATTTACAGCAGATGGCTAACTAAATTTAACGTGAGCTCTTGCCAACTTTTACGGAGGTTGTGTCTACCCACAGATCCCCAGTGATGGAGACGAGACTGGTGTTTTTTCCAAAAAACAAATTGTCTTTTTACTGAGCAATATCAAAATCACATACACTCAAAATCAGTCTCACATTCTCATACACTCAAGGTTCCTTTAGATTTACAGAAAGATATCAAAATAGTTTAGTTACTTAGGAGGTGGGTAGGTACACGGTTTAATACTTGCCTGTTCTTGGAGTCTTGTTTGTTGCAATGAAAACTTGAAGGGTAAGAATAATATGTACTGGGGTTTCTAAATACACACTTGCTAGAACCAGCCAGCTAAGCGTGGACCTCTTTGGCTGCAGTCCAAGAGATCAAAGAATGGGGACAAAGGGTTGTTTTATAGAAAGCTGTAAGTTAGGGGATGAAAGCATGGAAGAGGGCGAAGAGGGGAGGCGGCTAGCAAAGGACCAGGCGCGTGGTCCCTGCATTTTATAGTGAAATCTTTGGGATGGTTGGCAACCTTCGCCATTCTGGATCCACCTGACTATAAGTCCGTCCCATTGTTACATCTCATTGGTGCATGCAAGAAAGGGCACTACCTTTAAGGGTTAGACAATATTTGAAACTCTAGACTCTAACTCAGAACCGGCCATCTGGTCAGGTGTGAAAGTTGGCAGTCACCATTCTCCCTGATGTGCAGATGAATCTCGCTTTCCCATGCCATCAAAGTCCGATCTTCCAGGAAATGGCAATTCAGATTTAGATTCCCTTCCATGGGTTACTGACGTTGGGGTCCCTTTGGCGATGGAGGATTGCTTGCGCTTTTTAAGCTGTGGTTTGTGCTAACAATGGCTGTACTTCTTCTTCTCCCCTCAGGCCAGGCTTAGGAGCTGTATCACAAGCTTCATTTGCATGAAATGCAGGCAAAGGCCTTCTATGTGGAATCCCTCTCACAACAGGCGATGCAAACAGTGTTCCCTGAGCCTAGGGTGTATGTGTGCACACTTTATATAGTATGTCATCAGCTATCAGTTCACAAGAACGGAAATATAAGTTCATTTCTCAACAAAGGCCTCGGCCTCTCTGCCCTGCTGTTGGCCCTCCAGAGGAACTGGTTGAAGCCACTGTGTGAGACGGGATGCCGAACTAGATGGACCCTCACTGGTCTGATCCAGCAGGGCTCTTCTGATGTTCTCATGAGGGGAAGGCCTCGGCCTCTCTGCCCTGTGGTTGGCCCTGCAGAGGAACTGGCTGAGGCCACTGTGTGAGACGGGATGCTGGACTAGATGGACCCTCACTGGTCTGGTCCAGCAGGGCTCTTCTGATGTTCTTGTGAGGGGAAGGCCTCGACCTCTCTGCCCTGTGGTTGCCCTCCAGAGGAACAGGTTGAGGCCACCATGTGAGACAGGATGCTGGACTAAGATGGACCCTCACTGGTCTGACCCAGCAGGGCTCTTCTGATGTTGATGGGTTCTTAGAAACCCTTGAAAGGCCTTGGGTGCAGCAAACCTGGTTTCAGACTTATCAGAACAAACCTGAGATCCCTTGGAATCTTACTGGAGTTTCCTGATCAGAGATGAGGCCTCCTTTGAAAGACAGCTTGCCAGACCAATGGACCATCAAGTCCAGCATCCTGTCTCACACAGTGGCCTCAACAAGTTCCTCTGGAGGGCCAACGACAGGGCAGAGAGGCCGAGGCCTTCCCCTCATAAGAACATCAGAAAAGCCCTGCTGGATCAGACCAATGAGGGTCCATCTCATCCAGCATCCTGTCTCACACGGTGGCCTCTACCAGTTCCTCTGGAGGGCCAACAACAGGGCAGAGAAGCCGAGGCCTTCCCCTCACAAGAACATAAGAAGAGCCCTGCTGGATCAGACCAGTGAGGTTTCATCTAGTCCAGCATCCCGTCTCACACAGTGGTCTCAACCAGTTTCTCTGCATGGCCAACAACAGGGCAGAGAGGCCGAGGCCTTCCTCTCATAAGGACATAATTGGAGCCCTGCTGGATCAGACCAGTGCAGGTCCATCTAGTCCAGCATCCTGCCTCACACAGTGGCCTCAACCAGTTCTTTTGCAGGGCCAACAACAGGGCAGAGAGGCCAAAGCCTGCCTTCTTCAGATATCTGAAGAAGTGTACATGCACACGAAAGTTTATACCCAGAATTAAACTTTGTTGGTCTTAAAGGTGCCACTAGACTCAAACTTTGCTCTGCTGCTTCAGATCAACATGGCTACCCACCTGAATCTATCTGAATGTGGAGGTTCCCCCAAGTCCCCATGGCTAGTAGCCATCGATAGACTTCCCTGGCATGAATCTGTCTAATCCCCTTTTAAAGCCGTTTATTCCTGTGGCCCTCGCTACGTCCTCTTGCTGCAAATTCCACATTTTAATCACTCTCTGTGTAAAGTAGTATTTCCTGTAAATATTTGCTGTTAATTTTCTTTCAATTTCTTTTTCACTTTTGAAATGGTGGCAGGCAACTTCAGTTAAAAAGCCAGCGAATTGTCCCTTGTTTTACGTTATACCTTGTTAGGTTTTTTTTAAAAAAAACCCTGTCGCAAAGTGGACTAATTTTTGTTTGTATAATTAGCGTAAATATCAGACGTGTGGACGATTAAAGCATCTTTGTGTTGTCGCTGTTCTAAATAAATTTAAGACTTTAATTTAAGAGAGCCAGCTTGGTTTAGAGGTTAAGTGCGCGGACTCTAATCTGGGAGAACCGGGTTTGATTCCCCACTCCTCCGCTTGCACCTGGCTGGATGACCTTGGGCAAGCCGTAGTTCTGATAAGAGCTGTTCTTGAAAAAGAGCTGTTTCTGTCAAGAGCTCTCTCAGCCCCACCGACCTCACAGGGTGTCTGTTGTGGGGAGGGGAAGGGAAAGGAGTTTGTAAGCCGCTCTGAGACACCTTTGGGTAGTGAAGGGCAGGGTATTAATCCAATCTCTTCTCTTCTTCTTCTTTTACCTCACAGGGTGTCTGTTGTGGGGAGGGGAAGGGCAAGGAGTTTGCAAGCCGCTCTGAGACACCTTTGGGTAGTGAAGGGCGGGGTATAAACCCAATCTCTTCTTCTTCTTCTACCTCACAAGGGTGTCTGTTGTGGGGAGGGGAAGGGAAAGGAGTTTGTAAGCCACTCTGAGACACCTTTGGGTTGTGAAGGGCGCGGTATAAATCCAATCTCTTCTCCTCCTTCTTCTTCTAAAGATACTTGACTGCCCCCTCTGGATCAGAGACCCATCCCGAATCATTGTTTGCGATTTCCCTAAATGATCAATTTGGGGGGGGGGGGTGTTTGCATCACTTGTGTGGTTGGTAGCTCTGGGTTGGGAAACACCTGGAGGTTTTGGGGGTGAAGCTTGAGGAGGGACCTCAGCTGGGTATAAAGCCTTAGAGTCCACCTTCCAGAGCAGCCATTTTCTCCAAGGAGACCTGTCTCGGTCACCTGGAAAGCTCTTGTAACAGCCGGAGAATCTCCGGGTGCCGCCTGAAGGATTACAACAAACAGGACCATGGTGAGTATCTCACCATGTACAATTAATATTTGTTGGGTTTTATATGCCATGTTTAGAATTCAGTTATTAACAAGCTTACAACAATAACACTACAATATGCGATATAAAGCTTAGCAGTACATACAAAGTAATACAGTACTAGTTACAGACGAACGACGGAGTTCTAGTACACTATCCGTTTGCGTGTCCTTCATCAGGTTTGTCATTCTGTAATTATTTCTTCATTAGAATGAAGTGCTGCAAGCTGCAATGGAGTGTAACATATGCTTAATAACCAAAAACATAAGAATGACTCTAATATACAGAGGAGCATTTTACATTTTATAAACTCACCCATATTTCAAAATGCTAGTCCTTATACATTTTTTGATGTGCGCTACCGCGCTTAGAGTCTAGAAAAAAGCAGACAAAGCACAATATGTATTTCACAATTCTCCAATGATAACACATACCAAAAAAAAAAAAAATTCAAAATAGAACATTTTAAAATTTAGCCAGTCACATTAGAGCTTGCTATAGGAGCTCCCCAGTCACCAGGTTGCTAAATTTTAAAATGTACACGGTGATTTACTGTTTTACTGGCCACCTGGAAGATGGCAACCCTAATTATAGGCTCCCCTGCCAGTCTTTTCCAGCCAGGGCAGGAGAGAGCCGAGAGAAAGCTCACGCTCCCTAACTCCCCCCCCCCCCCCAAAAATCCCCTAATACTCGACGTTTTCCCTCCGTCCAGGTTTAAGTTCCAGGCCGTGATTGACGGCCGTCGGTTCCCGCCAGCGGAAGCAGGCAGCAAAAAGCTGGCCAAGCAGGAGGCGGCCGCCAACGCCATGAAGATCCTCCTCCACGAAGCCGAGAACGAGGGGGAAGACGACCTGGAGCTGCACAAGCCCTTCTACGAGGACACCTCCCTCCACGAGGAGGAGGAGGAGGAAGAGGAGGAGGAGGTGAGGGGCAGCGGGGCGGGAATTCCAGGGTGCGGGGCGGCGATTCCTTCGCAAAAACCCAGGTGGACTCCTCAGGGCAGCAGCTAGACAGGTTCTCTAATGGCTGCTGCCACTCTGGTATGGGTGTCCTCGGGAGGGCCCAAAGCACCCACCCTCCCCCTTGCACAGTACTTTTCCAGTACTTTCCCCTTTATCCGTGACCTAATGAGACGTGAGGACCCAGGCAGAGTAACAAACAGTGTTCCCTCTAAGCTGAGTGAGTGTGAGCTAGCTCACAGTTTTGTAGCCCCCAGCTCACACAGCTTTTTGCCTCAGCTCAGGAAGGACGGCTCCAGAGCAGACTTAATTTACACCGCAGCCAAATCGCTCGCCCGCAGCGTTAATGCCAGTCGCTCACAAAGTAGAATTTTTGCTCGCAAGGCTCCACAGCTTGGAGGGGGCCCTGGTAACAAACTAGTCTTATCAAGGAAATTGAACAGTAACTGTGATTCAAAAACACGCTGGACTCTGGCATCCTGTTGGTTAGAAAACGGATGTGCCGCCTCTCTTGTGACCTGTTTGACACAGTTCGCAAAGTAGAAACTGTGACGTTATAAAGAACAACAAACATTTTAAAAAATCAATGTAAAACCAAGCCCCAAGGGCCCGTGAAGAGGGCATAAGAAGAAGAGATTGGATTTATACCCTGCCCTTCACTTCCCAAAGATATCTCAGAGCAGTTTACAAACTCCTTCCCCTTCCCCTCCCCAAAACAGTTGCAAAAGAAGGACTTTGGCTCTCTGTATAATCGGCTGTCGGTCAGGATCACATTTCCCGCCAAATGCACATTTGGTGGTGTTTGTAGCTTTTAATCTATCAGGTCCCAAACCATAGGAGGTTGGGTGGGCTTAAGGGGCCCTCCTTCCTGCCCCCATCGCGATGGCCGTAAGCGGGTGGCTTTCTTTGTGTTCTGGATCACCCCTGGGTTTCCTTAGAATCGTGTTGAGGATTCTTCATGGAGAGTATGGATAAGGGGGAATAAATCTTCCCCCAAAATCTGTCTTCTCCATCCCCACTGACCTGCCAGTCTCCCCTGCCAGTTTGGTGTCGTGGTTAAGTGCGCGGACTCTGATCTGGGAGAATCTGGGTTTGATTCCCCCACTCCTCCACTTGCACCTGGCTGGATGACCTTGGGCAAGCCATAGTTCTGACAAGAGCTGTTATCTCAAGGTCAGTCCTCGAAAGAGCTCTCTCAGCCCTACCTGCCTCCCAGGGTGTCTGTTGCGGGGAGGGGAAGGGAAAGGCATTTGTAAGCCGCTCTGAGACTCCGCGTGAAGGGCGGGGTATAAATCCAATCTCTTCTCTTCCCCAGAGGAGAGTTCAGGGGAATCTAGGGCACCTGGAGACCAAACCCTACAAAGAAAGGCCGGGGGACTTGAGAATAGTCTAGAGAAGAGGAGGACTATGAGGGGACATGGTGACTCTCTTGAGGTCCTGGAAGGGCTGTCACTTTAGGCAGGGAGATGTTTCTGTTGGCGACTGAGGATAGGACTCATGGTGGTGGGTTTAAATTATGGGCGGAAAGGTGTCGGCTGGATATTAGGGAAGAATCTTTGTTACAGTAGGAGTAGTTCAACCGTGAAACGGGCTGCCTAGGGAGGTAGTGAGCTCCCCCTCACAGTCAGTCCTCAAGCTGCGGCTGGACGAACGCTTGTCAGGGATGCTCTAGGCTGATCCTGCATTGAGCAGGAGGTTGGACTTAGGTGGCCTGTAGGGCCCCTTCCGACTCTATGATTCTGTACACCCTCTTAAGTTGATGCGGGGTATTGTGGGTAGAGATGTAAAATTTCCAAAAATTTTGAAGCTCGAAAAAAAAACCCTGTTTTTTTCCCAGTTTTTTTGGGGGGAAACGGAAATTTTCTGAAAAATTGAAAAAACTGCTACATTAGCATTTCTTTTGTCTTTTCTAGATTGAAACTCATTCTGTTACTTTAGGAACACAAAATATGTATCCAAACTGTTTGTTGTATCCAAACAATTATTACAAACAGAATACCCACCCACATGCAAAAACAAAACTGAAACCTTTTTAGTTTCTTCTGACAATAGCACCTCCCAAAGGAAGAAATGCATCTTGTTCTTGCATTGGAGAGTTCAGTTTGTAACCTAGGACTTACTTGTCCTCAGTGCACAGAAATTAGATCAATCTGATACCAGATAGATATATAGATAGATAGATAGATAGATATATAGATAGATAGATAAAAAAACAAAAAAGGATTCCCCCCCAAATTTTTCCGGTTTTTTTCCGGGCCTTCACATCTCTAGTTGTGGGGTACCTGGCTGGTGTTCCTTAGAATGCTAACAAAAAGGAAGGGAAGGGGGAAGGGGGAAAAGGGGGGGGGGGAGAAAACTCAACCCAAAAAGTTGCTATGGATCCACAAGGGTTAAGCTGACTCAAAATATTACAAAAATGCAAAATTTATTCAGGTGTACACATTTTAAAACTTCGACTCATTAAAAATGTAACATTCAGACATAAAAAAACTTCTCAACATTCATACATAGATGGGTTAGTGCTGTGCAACTGAACCAAACGCGTTTCGGCCCCTCAAAGGGCCTTCCTCAGTGGTCACAATTCCAATTACAAATTTGACATACATTCAAAAAAATTTTTTACATAAGATGTACATATACAGGAGAAGGCCAGATGTTGTTTCCTTCTGTATTGTATGTTATTATTCTATAAGATGGGCCTCCAGTTTAGCCAAATAAAGTCCACCAATAATTCTGGTATCACAAACTTGTGTGAGTTGAATGTATGTCACTCCATCCTGTACAAATTCTGGTGAAACCTTAGAAACCTTAGAAACCAAGAGTGACAATTGCGGACATGTTGTAGAATCCTCTGCGCTGCTGTAGATTTTTGTGTGGCAGGCCAGCCATCATGGAAAGCATTCCCTGAGGGCAGAAAACGTCTCACCTGCTGGTGAGCGGGCTCCAGTATATGATGCTGGCTGGGGAAATGCCCTTTGGGGTAGCAGAGGCACGGAGAGGCTTCAGGCGGCGATCAGCTGGTCGGCTGATCTCCCTGCCTTTTCGGAAGATCGGGGCAACTGGTCTCCCCCCTCAGCCTTTTGCCGTGGGCTGTGCACTGAAAGAGACCCCCCCTTCCCCCCCCTCGAAGGATTATCTGAAGAAGCGAGCTGTGACCCCCCCGAAAGCTCCTACCTTGCCACAAATGTGTTAGTCTTTAAGGTGCTGCTGGACTCTTGCTCTTTTCTAAAGCTGCAGACAGACTTAACACGGCCACCTGTCTTGATCCTTCCCGTCTGTCACTCCGGCGGCAGAAAAGTCCCTCGCCCTGGAGTCCCTCGGAACTAACGTTAATTAAGCCTGGCTTCTGCATCGGTACCGCATTCTTTGGCTTCATTCCTTAAACTCTTTTCTCTCTCTCTTTCTCCCCAGGCAGAGTCCGAGGACCCAGAGCCAGAGCCGTCCTCCATAACGCAACCGTATGCGCCTTCTGTAAAGAACCCGGTCAGCGCGCTGGTGGAGTACGCCCAGAAGTCGGGGAGCGTCTGCGAATTCCAGCTGCTTTCTCAGGAGGGTCCCCCCCATGACCCAAAGTAAGGCTTGGGTTAACGACTTCCTTCCTGGTGTAACATGAGCTTGCCTTGGGGTTTTATGACAAGCAAATGTTTATTTTACTTTTTAAAAGTTAATACCCTGCCCTTCGATCTAGTGATTTTCATAAAGACAACATAGGAACATAAGAGAAGCCATGTTGGATCGGGCCAGTGGCCCATCCGGTCCAGCCCTCTGTGTCACACAGTGGCCAAAACCCAGGTGCCATCAGGAGGCCCACCAGCGTGGCCAGAACTCCAGAAGCCCTCCCACTGTGCCCCCCCCCCAGCACCAAGTACATCAGAGAAGTCATGTTGGATCAGGCCAACGGCCCACCCAGTCCAACCCTCTGACACACAGTGGCCAAAACCCAGGTGCTATCAGAAGGTCCGCCAGCGTGGCCAGAACTCCAGAAGCCCTTCCACACACACACACTCTTGTCCCCCAAGCACGAAGAACATAACGTAAGAGAACATAACAGGATCAGGCCAATGTCCCATCCTATCCAACCCGCTATGTCACATAGTGGCCAAAACCCAGGTGCTGTCAGGCAGTCCACCAGCGGGGCCAGAGCTCCAGAAGCCCTCCCACTGTGCTCCCCCCCCAGCATCAGGGTGATTATAGTTGAGCAAAACTACCAAGATACAAACGGAGCAGAGTACCTGTCTCATCTCTTTGCAGAAGAAAAGGAGCAGGTAGGATGTTGATGATAAAGGATATCCCCACCAAACTGAGACCCAGTTTGGTGTGGTAGTTAGGAGCGCAGACTCTAATCTGGGAGAACCGGGTTTGATTCCCCACTCCTCCAAATGCAGCTGCTGGTGTGACCTTGGGTCAGTTATGGCTCTCTCAGAGCTGTTCTCGCAAGAGCAGTTCTCGAACAAGCTCTCTCAGCCCCACCTGCCTCACCGGGTGTCTGTTGTGGGGAGGGGAAGGGAAAGGAGTTTATAAGCTGCTCTGAGACTCCTTCAGGTAGTGAAGGGTGGGGTATAAATCCAATCTCCTCTTCTTCTTCACCCTTTCCCTCCCTCTTGCATGCAGAGTTTCAATATCTAACAGGGACAGGATCTGAAACCGTTCCCTGTTCTTCCTGGCCCCCCACTCATTGCGAAGAGTGCCTGCTTTTATCTGCCCCTGACCCCACCCCTTCATACGGGTAGCCATATCGTGGCTTCTGCTTCTTGGCCGCAGTGCAAACCGTCGTTTAAATATTTGTAGAGTACTTTTAATATAGAGTGTCGCAAAGAACTTGTGATCACAACAATATTATGGCAATACTTTCTCTCTTTATTGTGGACATGGGAGACAGACGTCCCCGTGGAAAGTGTTACTCTAAAGTAGATTGAGAGGCTCTTGGCTTGGCTTTTGAAAAAGCCTTGAGCGACACGTGATTAGGAAGCTGGCAGATGCGTGAAGCAAGCCTTGAACTGACACCTCATGACCCAAGTGTAATGTGAACTGATCCCTGAAGACATCGGGCTGCAAAAGTGTCTACGTTCTAATGCTCTTTATCTGAAGCACCTCTGTTGGTTTTGGATTGCTTTGGACTGTCTTCATTAACTGAGTGGTTTACATTATTTGAAGAAAGTATTGTCATAATATCGTTGTGATCACAAGTTCTTTGCGACACTTTATATAAAGGTATTCTACAATTATTTTTGACGTTTTTGTACACAGTCGTTTTTTGGGTTTGTTTGTTTTTTTGCTATTCTGTACTGTGTATTTTCCCTGTTTGATTTTTGGCCTTCCTAACAGCTGCCGCTTGCTCTGCAATGCAGCCACTTTCTGAACTCTCTTGTCTCTCCGTGGCCTCCGTTCAGGTTCAAGTACTGCGTGAAGGTGGGCGACAACGTTTTCCCCGCCGTGGTATCCCACAGCAAGAAGGGAGCGAAGCAGATGGCGGCTGAGGTCGCCATGAAGGGCCTCTCAGGGGACACCACTGGTTTGCCGGAACAGGTAGCTATGCCTTTCCCCTTCTGTCTCTGGGTATTCCTTTAATTTTTTTAAAAAATATTTTTATTATAAGTCAAACTCCCAGGCAGAAAGAAATAAAAAATACAACAACAGTGGCAAATCTACAGATAAACATCTATAAAAGTTTTCCGTCCCCCCATCCCCTGCTGGTGGACGGGGGGGGGGGGGGGGGGGGGGGTGCTGGCAACAATACTTCCAAATATCTAAAAATACGTGCACGTATTGTCATCTGTGTGCGATACGTTCAAATGCTGATAAGGGTTGTAAGGTCCTCGATCCATTGGATGTCTGGATATGGCCATATTTACAGTGTTGTAATATAAGTCTTAGCAACAGTAGGGATATGGAGGGTCCGTTTTCATTGACAATCAGCTAGGTGGAAACAGTTTAAAACATGAGAACATAAGAGAAGCCAATGCCGGATCAGGCCAATGGCCCATCCAGCCCAACACTCTGTCATACAGCGGCCAAAAATACCAGGACACTAGAAGCCATCCCACTGTTGCCCCCTGCCCCCCAAGCACCAAGAATAGAGTGTCACTTGCCCCAGACCAAGAGTTCCTATCTATACCTTGAGGCTAATAGCCATTGATGGACCTTTGCTCCATATGCTTATCTAATTCCCTCTTGAAGCCGTCCATGCCTGTAGCTGCCACCACCTCCTGTGGTAGTGAATTCCATGTGTTAATCACTCTTTGGGTGAAGAAGAACTTCCTTTTATCCCTACTAACTTGGTTGCTCAGCAATTCCATGGAGTGCCCACGAGTTCTTGTATTGTGAGAAAGGGAGAAAAGTACCTCTTTCTCTACCTCATGCATAATCTTGTAAACCACGATCATGTCACCCCTCAGCCGTCGTTTCTCCAAGCTAAAGTAAAGGGTCCTAAAAAATCAATGAATATTCTAATACAAAATTGATACGAGTAATAAATTCCTCCCCAAAAGACCGAATAATGGGATAGGCCGGAAGCATATGTTTAAGAGACACATCATGTGAGTTACAACGCCAGCCATTAGGCATTTGACGTAGCCCTTTACTAAAAAGGACACTGTGGTGTCCGGTATATCCTAAACATAATCTTTTGCTCCGTGTGTCATAGCCTTGCAGTCCAGAGAAACGAGGTATGAGATTTAGGGCCATATCCCATTGCTTTGGCGAGACGGGGCGATCCCGTTCCTGTTTGCACTCCTGGCAGTCATCTGTCTCTCTCCCTCCCCCCCCCCTCCTGTTTTGCTCGACCTTTAGGCGGAGGCCCAGGGCGACCCATCAATGGAAGTCTCTGGCGGGCAGACCCCGAATGTGGACGAGACACAGGCTGCGAGTGCGAAGGGTGTCGGAGAGCTGATCAAGTACCTGAACTCCAACCCCGTGAGCGGCTTGTTGGAATACGCCCGGACCAACGGTTTCGCGGCTGAGTTCAAGCTGATCAAGCAGACCGGGCCGCCCCATGATCCCAAGTGAGTCGTCTGCGGCGTCCCGTGGAATGTAGAAATCGTATCGTTGGCTTCGTCTGGCCCGGTGCTCGGCCCCCTCTAACCAGAGGCAGCTCTCCGGGGCCTCGGGCTGAAGTCTCTCCTAGCTGTGCTACTGCCCCAGGATAGTTTGAAGGGGGGGGGTCAATGGGGCAGCAATTCTGCGGAGTTCACTCCTGTTCAGTTGTCCTCTGATTTCTAAGAGTTCCCTAGGGATCCATTCACGCGATTTCAAGCTCAATCACGCAGGCTCAGCACTGACATTCTGGAAGAAACTGTCAGTTGTTTAGTTGGGGGGGGGTTTTTTCCCAACGTGTGACCGTGGGCACCATGGCAACTGCTGACACCTTTCCTGGAACTCGCCCAAGTGCTTTTATAAGGTGGGCGGGGCAAGGTGGGGCTTTTCCTCAGCAGGTCTCCTGATTGGCTGTGCAGATGAAAAGGCATCCCATTAACCAGAGCTTCTGCCTGAAATGCTGAAGCGTTACTCTTAGAGTTGTAGACAACCTCGATCCTTGATACTTTGTGGCCCCCACCTCCTGCGTCAGCCATTTTGTGCTTGGCTCAGTCTCTTGCAGCAGCCATTTTGTGATTGGCTCAGTCTCTTGCGGCAGCAATTTTGTGCTTGGCTCAGTCTCTTGCGGCAGCCATTTCGTGCTTGGCTCGGCCTCTTGCGGCAGCTATTTTGTGCTTGGCTCCACCTCTTGCGGCAGCCATTTTGTGATTGGCTCAGTCTCTTCTGGCAGCCATTTATGTGATCGTGCCCACTGCTCTTTGCCGGAATCCCAAAGGGGCTCAGAGCGACAAAAAGGTTGGGGACGCTTGGTTTAGCTCTTGGTTTGTCTCGCTCCAAATTTTAAGATGACACACTTCAGTTCACTGAAGCTCTGCAGGCCGGCCAGCTCCCAGCAAACACCGTCTCCATTGCACCGAGATGAGGGTATGTGGTTGGCCCTCCAGAGGAACTGGTTGAGGCCACTGTGTGAGACAGGATGCTGGACTAGATGGACCCTCACTGGTCTGACCCAGCAGGGCTCTTCTTACATTCTTGCCAGGCACATGCCATCTCCCAAGCTTTCAGCAAGACCATTGTTTTTGCATTCTCAGCTGACAAGCTATGCTTGGCTACAAAAGGACAGAAGGGCCTGCTGTCACCACCAGCTATTTCTACCCGTCAGCACAATCAACACCCCCCCCCCCCATACAGTCTCCCTATTTGCATTTTTGGGCCCATGGAGGTAAGGCGCCAGCGTAAACCGACAGTTCACTGATACACCCTCATGGAGCCAATCCATCCCATACCCTCATCTCGGTGCAATGGAGACGGTGTTTGCTGGGAGCTGGCCGGCCTGCAGAGCTTCAGTGAACTGAAGTGTGTCATCTTAAAATTTGGAGCGAGACAAACCAAGAGCTAAACCAAGCGTCCCCAACCTTTTTGTCGCTCTGAGCCCCTTTGGGATTCCGGCAAAGAGCAGTGGGCACGATCACATAAATGGCTGCCAGAAGAGACTGAGCCAATAATAAAATGGCTGCCGCAAGAGACTGAGCCAATCACAACATGGCTGCTGCAAGAGGCTGAGCCAAGCACAAAATGGCTGCCACAAGAGGCCAAGCCAGCAACAGGACAGAGAGGCTGAGGCCTTCCCTCATAAGAACATCAGGAGAGCCCTGCTGGATCAGACCAGTGAGGGACCATCTAGTCCAGCATCCCGTCTCACACAGTGGCCTCAACCAGTTCCTCTGGAGGGCCAGCAACAGGGCAGGGAGGCTGAGGCCTTCCCCTCATAAGGACATAAGACGAGCCCTGCTGGATCAAACCAGTGAGGTTCCCTCTAGTCCAGCATCCTGCCTCACACAGTGGCCTCAAGCAGTTCCTCTGCAGGGCCAACCACAGGGCAGAGAGGCCGAGGCCTTCCCCTCATAAGAACATCAGAAGAGCCCTGCTGGATCAGACCAGTGAGGGACCATCTAGTCCAGCATCCCGTCTCACACAGTGGCCTCAACCAGTTCCTCTGGAGGGCCAACAACAGGGCAGGGAGGCTGAGGCCTTCCCCTCATAAGGACATAAGACGAGCCCTGCTGGACCAGACCAGTGAGGGTCCATCTAGTCCAGCATCCTGCCTCACACAGTGGCCTCAAGCAGTTCCTCTGGAGGGCCAACAGCAGGGCAGAGAGGCCGAGGCCTTCCCCTCATAAGAATGTCTGAAGAGCCCTGCTGGATCAGACTACTGAGGGTCCATCTAGTCTAGCATCCTGTCTCATACAGGGGCCTCAATCAGTTCCCCTGTAGGACCAGCAACAGGGCAGAGAGGCCGAGGCCTTCCCCTCATAAGGACTTAAGACAAGCCCTGCTGGACCAGACCAGTGAGGGTCCATCTAGTCCAGCATCCCGTCTCACTCAGTGGCCTCAACCAGTTCCTCTGGAGGGCCAACAACAGGGCAGAGAGGCTGAGGCCTTCCCCAGTGTTGCCTCCTGGCACTGGGATTCAGAAGGTTGCTGCATTTGAGGGGCTGGGTCTCGAGTCGTTCTGTTTACGCAGACCTGACCTGCCAGGGCAGGCTACAGGCGATGCCTTTCCTCGGCCTGGTATCTTGACTCTCCAAAGCTCACACCCTGAGAATCTCGCTGCTCTCCCAGGTGCTCCCGGACTCCATTCGAGCTCTTACTGCAGACCAACCCTGGCTGTCCTGTGGAACAGCCCACCTTGGTGTCTCTCCTGAGAGCCGAGCATTCACACAACCCCCCTGCCGCTAGGCAGTTCCCAGCGAGCCATGTCTGTTCTTTGGCTTCCTCTCCTCTCAAGGGCCGAAGTCGGTAAATCCCAGCTGCCTGCCAGGTCTCCTTACTTTCTCTTCCTCTCCTTCCACCCCCCCCCCCCCCCCCCCTGCAGGTTCTTCTTCCAAGCCAAAGTGGGAGGCCGCTGGTTCCCGGCCGTCCAGGCGCACAGCAAGAAGCAGGGCAAGCAGGAGGCGGCTGACGCGGCGCTCCGGGTTCTGATCGGGGAGACGGAGAACGCCGAGCACCTCGAAGGGATGGCGATCACGGAGGTGCGACCCCCCCCCAGAGACTCCTTCCCTAGCCCTCGGCTACCCTGAGCTTCCTCTGAAAGGCCGTCATGGTACTTCCTTCCCCTGCCCTCCTGCCCTGGCGTGACTGCTGGCGCAGGGCATGTTCTGTCCCCAGGGCACTCTTCGCGTCAGCGGTTTTATTGACTAGCACCGGGTCTCTCTTTTATTGTCATCGTCCTCTCTCTTTTTCTCCCTTCCCCACGAGTTGGTCGTCCTACATCTATTGCAGGGGTGTCGAACTCATTTGCTGTGAGGGCCGGATCTGACATAAATGAGTCCTTGTCAGGCCGGGCCCATGTGTGTCATGAAATGTAATGCCAGGTAGCGGAGATATAAACTTTGTAAAGGACACAACGATTTTTTTTTTACTTAAAATAAGCTTAAGACATTAGCTCTGTAAGCTGCAAACATACTTTTGATTTTTTTGGACCTTCACCACAGAGATCTCATGCTCAGAGTTCTGAGTCTAGGACCCAGGTTGAAACATGAAATGGCCGATTGATTAGGAGAGTCTGGCGAAGCAAACTATGATACAGCAGCAGCAGAACTGGAAGCAGGAGAGGGCCAGTTCCACTGCAGGCCTAATGGAAGTCCTCTGGGGGGAGGGCCTAATCCGGCCCCCGGGCCGTGTGTTTGACACCACTGATCTAATGCTTTCAGGTCAGGCGTGTGTGATGATTTCTGGGTCTCTTACTAGCGCATGTCCCTTCCATGAGCATTTTTGGATTTGCTAGCCGTTTCAACAGTCTTGGCTTCCCCCGAGAGAGCTGTGAATTGCAGACTGATGCAGATACTGAGGGTTTCCTCTTGGCCTTGGCCTGCCTTGCGGCACCATAGTGCTCAGGAGGGAAGGAATGATTGCTAAGGAAGGCTGAGGAATACAAAGCGGGCGTGCCCGACAAACCCTCCGGTAGCTTTTCTTGAGCCAAGAGTCCAGCAGCACCTTGAAGTGAGCTTTTGTGAGCCACGTCTCTTCACTCACATCTTCACTTCTGGTATCTGAAGAAGCGAGAGCCGTGACTCACGAAAGCTCCTCCCCTGCCACAGATTTTGTTTAGTTCTTAAGGTGCTCCTGGACTCTCGCTCTTTTCTGCTGCTAGGTAAAGGTAAAGGTTTCCCTTGCTCGAAAGCCAGTCGAGTCCGACTCTAGGGTTGCGGTGCTCATCTCCGTTTCAAAGCCGAAGAGCCAGCGCTGTCCGAAGATGTTTCCGCGGTCATGTGGCCGGCGTGACTAAACACCGAGGCGCTACAGACAGACTAACACGGCTACCCGTCTTGGTCTGTCTTTTTTTTATACGTGTGTTACGTGCCATCAAGTTGCTTCTTTGAATGAATGAACTCCAATACATTCCATTGTTAACAGCCTTGCAGACTGAGGGCCCTCGTGGCTTCCTTGGTGGAGTCCGTCCCTCTCATGTTGAGAGCCACTTTGGTGTAGTGGTTAAGAGTGGTGGACTCTAATCTGGGGAAACCAGGTTTGCTTCCCCACTCCTTCATATGAAGAAGAAACAGATTGGCTTTATTCCCCTCCCTTCACTACCCAAAGGTGTCCCAGAGCGGCTTACAAACTCCTTTCCCTTCCCCTCCCCACAACAGGCACCCGGTAAGGTAGGCGGGGCTGAGAGAGCTCTTGACAGAACTGTTCTTTTTCAAGGACAGCTCTTATCAAAACTACGGCTTGCCCACGGTCATCCAGCCAGGTGCAAGTGGAGGAGTGGGGATTCAAACCTGGCTCTCCCAGATTAGAGTTCGCGCACTTATCCACTACACCAAACTGCACTAAAGCACTACACCATATGCAGCTGCTGGTGTGACCTTGGGTCAGTCACAAGTTCTCTCCGAGCTGCTCTCTCGCGAGCAGTCTTCGAAAGAGCTCTCTCAGCCCCTGAAGCCTCTTTAAGCAGCTGCTTTGGCTTTAACGTCTCACCAGGTGTGTCGTTCTTGAGTTGTACAGCACGTTTTGGAATTGACTTGAGTGCATCCTAGTGTATGCGTTGTAAACAGGCTGAGATTTTACCCAGAACCAAAATTGTGCCAACACCACATTCATTCTGCGCAGTAACTATACAACCTTGGGTAGGGGAGCAGATCTTGCTATCCGTATCCTATTTGGGAAAGCGACGGCAGCATTTTCCTGTCGGTTACTGGAAATGTAGTGGTGAGCTATGCTCCCTCTAAGCTGTGGAATTTTGTGAGCAAAATGTCTACTTAGTGAGCTACTGGCTTTAAAGTTGCGAGTGAGCGATTTGGCTGCTGCATAAATTAGTTTGCTCTGGAGCTATCCCTTCCTGAGCTAAGACAAAATTGTGTGAGCTGGAGGCTAAAAAACTGTGAGCTGGCTCACACTGACTCAGCTTAGAGGGAACACTGGTGGTGAGATTGTTGAACTAGGGTCAGGGGGACTTGGGTTCCAATCTCCCCCTCCCCCTTTTAGAACATAAGGGAATCCAGTGTTGAATCAGGCCAATGGCCCTTCCAGCCCAACACTCTGGGTCACACAGTGGCCAGAAATACCAGGTGCCATCAGGAGGTCCAGCAGTGGGGCCAGGACACTAGAAGCCCTCCCACTGTTGCCCCCTCCCCAAGCACCAAGAAGAAAGAGCATCACTTGCTCCAGAGCCCCTATCTGTACCTTGTGGCTAATAGCCACTGATGGACCTCTGCTCCATATGCTTATCTAATTCCCTCTTGAAGCCGTCCATGCTTGTAGCCGCCACCACTTCCTGTGGCAGTGAATTCCATGTGTTAATCACTCTTTGGGTGAAGAAGGACTTCCTTTTTTCCGTTCCAACCCGACTGCTCAGCATGTCTAACCCGACTCCTTTTGTGCCACAAAACTTGCTGGATGACAGTGGTCCTGACTTTCGTGGTCCTGTCTCACGGACCTTGCTAACATCCAGAGGTTTGATGTGGGCGTATAATGAGGAGAGGAGAACCATGTACATCCCCCCCCCCCCGCTGCTTGGGAGGAAGGGCGGGACACAAGCACGCGAGACGAGCTGTTCTCAATGTGGTGGCAAGGGCACTGTGGTGTCCACCAATACCTTTTCCTGGCGCCACATAGGTCTCCTGTCCTAGAATACAGTCATGGAATCATAAGAGTTGGAAGGGGCCTCCAGGGTCATCTAGTCCAACCCCCTGCACAAGGCAGGAAATTCACCAGTACCCCCCCCTTTGCACCCACAGTGACCCTCTGTTCCACGCCCAGAAGACGAAAAACCTACAGAGCTTCTGACTTTGCTGTGCCGATTAAAATAACGTTTTATTTATACGTATATATTTGGTTTCTAAACCGTCTTCCCCCATACTTGGGGCTCAGGGCAGCGTACGGCGTTCAAAGAGACCATCGTAATCAGATTCAGATAAGTTAAGAGCAGTGAAGCAAAGGCTGTCACCATTCCGGATGGCGTCTAAAACCAACCCAAGGGGGAGTGGAAGGGGGGGGGTGGGCAGACTAATTGAGGGCCGTTGCTGTCCTCAGCCTTAGGCCTGGTGGAACATCTCTGCCTTACGGGCCCTGCGGAACTTGTCTCGGTCCTGCCGGGCACAGGTGTTACCTGGCAGAGAGTCCCGCCAGGCGGGTGCCGGGGCCAAAACAGCGGGATGGATGAATATATAGATACGTAGATAATGTACTTGCTGGCTGAGACCACAGTGTTGGCATCATTATCTCTCCCCTTTTTTTTCTTTCCCTTCGTATTTTTAGACATTGCTCCTCTTTGTCTCCTGCCCCTGGGCTTAGTGAGGGCGGGGCCTTTGCGTTCGCTGGTGGCCATTTTGTAGTCCTCCCCGCCTCCCGGGCAGCCATTTTGCGGCTGGCTCTGCCTCATTAACCGCTGTTTTGTCGTCGCTCCCACCATCCTGTGCCCAACTTGCCCAGAGGCTCAAAAAAGTCGGCACCCCCACGCCGGACAGCAGAGTGAAAAAGACCCGGCTTTGTGGCTTCCGTTTCTTTGCCGTGCCCATCGGGGGGGACGGGGGCACGCTTCCTGTCCTGGTTTCCTTGCATGGCTCAAATGTGTCTTTTCCCCCCTCCCGGCAGCTCCCCGTGAGCGGCAGCACCCTCCACGACCAGATCGCCATGCTGAGCCACCAGCGGTTCAACACCCTCACGGCTCGCATCCAGCACAGCCTGCTCGGGCGCAAGATCCTGGCCGCCATCATCATGCGGCGAGGGCAGGAGGGCCTGGGCGTCGTGGTCAGCATCGGGACAGGTAGGACGGAGCTCGAGCCTTTGTGGAGATGCAACCGCCCACTCGGTGCGCTTAGAATCTCCAGCAGGAGGTTTCCTGACAGCGGTCTCTTTTTCTTTTTCTATTTTTCTTTTGCCCGCCAGGTAATCGCTGCGTGAAAGGGGAGGAGCTGAGCCTGAAAGGGGAGACGGTGAACGACTGTCACGCGGAGATCATTTCCAGAAGGGGCTTCATAAGGTGAGGAGGGGGCAGCGGGAGAGGCTCAACCAAGATGATGAGGGGGTCTGGAGCACTTCCAGTTTGGTGTAGCGGTTAGGAGCACGGACTCCAACCTGGGAGAACCGGGTTTGAGTCCCCACTCTTCCACATGGAGCTGCTGGTGTGACCTTGGGTCAGTCACAAGTTCTCTCAGAGCTGTTCTCTCAGGGGTAGTCCCTGAGAGAGCTGTCCCAGCCCCACTGACCTTACAGGGTGTCTGTTGTGGGGAGGGGAAGGAGATTGTAAGTCGCTCTGAGACTCCCAGGTGAAGGGCGGGGTATAACTCCAATCTCTTCTTCTATGAGGAAAGGCTGAAGAGCCTGGGACTTTTCAGTTTGGAAAAGAGGCGACTAAGTGGGGGACGTAAGAGAGGTTTATGAAATGATGCACGGGCTGGAGAGAGTTGACAAAGAGAAAGACTAGAACTCAAGGGCATCCAGTGAAGTTAATGGGCAGTAGGTTCAGGACAGAGAAAAGGAAATACAACAGGAAGCAATGTTGTCTAACCGTTTTTATTCTTCACACTCACAGTGTTATCGGTGGTGGGAAGTGTGGTCAATTTGCAGCCAATTTACAGTGACCCTGTAGGGTTTTCAAGGCAAGAGGCTAAGAGAGGTGGGTTTGCCATTGTCTGCCTCTGCGCTGGGACCCTGGAATTTCTCAGTGGTCTCCCGTCTAAGGACTAACCAGGGTCAGTCCAGCTTATCTTTCAAGATCTGACAAGAGAACAAAGTAGAATCCAGTGGAACCTTTAAGACTCAAGTTTTTAATTCTGGGGATAAGCTTTCGTGGGCAAGCGCACTTCTTCAGGTACCTTTGCACTGCATTCACATGAAAGCTCATACCTGGAATTAAACTTGGTCGCTCTTAAAGGTGCCGCTGGACTCAAACTCAAACATCTCAAGATGGCGCCACTAATAAATAACATTCATTGCATTCTGAAAACAATCTCAAGATGGCGCCACTAATCTGTTCTTAAACCCATCCTGGACTGGGTTGCCGCCTCGTAGGCGGGGCAAAGGGGAGGCAGAAGTGGAAGAAGAGACTAGAGAGCAAGGGTTAGGGGGCCAGCCATGGTGAAGAACCGTGGCTGCCCTCAGCCAGAAGCCTGGCGGAACATCTCTGTCTTACAGGCCCCTGTGGAATTGCATTAAGTACTGCAGGGGGTCCTGGTGGGAGCTGGCAGAGAGTTCCACCAGGCCGGAGCTCTGGTCAAGGGCAGCCAGACACCTTCAGGGGCAAGGGATCATCAGTAAGTTTTTCCTCAGCAAGAGCGTAATGCTCTCCTAGGACCAGACAAAATCTTGGGACATACCTAGATGGTGTCAGACTCTTGAACAGACTTACTCCCAACAACACTCTTGGCAGTGATTTGTTTGAGGAATAAAGATGTTTTCAAGCTTGAAACTGTCTGTGTCGGAACTTGACCCTCTTGGCACCAGTTCTGGTATTATACAGAATTCAAACAGGGCCCCCCCCCCCCGCCCCCGATGATCAGTCCAATCACACCGATTCATCCAGCCCTCCTAGATCTACTGTGCAACATTAGCCCTCCCCCCAACACATGCAAGCTTAGTATCTAACAGTATCTGCCATCCAAGGTCAAGCACGCATACTTCCCAGGGAAGGGAGGCCTCGCTTTACACGCCTTTTGCAAAGCAGCTCTCACATCCACACACTCGCACGCTCCCAAACTCCCTCCCCCCAACCAGAAGGCAATAGGCACACAGGACCGGAGAACAGCTGTAACCATGGCAAACGAGAGTGGTTGAGGCCACTGTGTGAGACAGGATGCTGGACTAGATGGACCCTCACTGGTCTCCCATCTGAGCACTAACCAAGGTCAACCCTGCCGTAGCTTCCAAGATCTGATGATAGCCAGTCAGGTCAGGTCTCAATCTTATTATCCTTGTAAGAATTCTGTAAGGTGGGCCAGTATCATTATAAAGTAAGTAAACATTGGTAGGGAGGAGGGGGAAGCTAAGGTTGAGATAGTGGTTTGCTCAAGACATCCTGGTGAGTTCAGGGCAAAGTTGAAATTCAGGAGCAGACCGCCAGACCTTAGCAGCCCAATCTTACCGAGGGTGATAACGGCATCTCTGGGGTTCCGTTGCAGGTTTCTGTACAGTGAGCTCATGAAGTACGACCCCTCTGCCCCGAAAGACAGCATCTTTGAGCCAGCAGAAGACGGCAAGCTGAAGATCAAAGACGACATCACCTTCCACCTCTATATCAGGTCCGTACCACCTGCAGCATGGCCCTATCAGTAGCTGCACCTTCATAGACTGAGGGGTGGGTGGGTGGGATGTCACAAGGGAGAGGGGAGTCTTTCATAGTGGGCGTTTTCACACATGCTGAATAATGTATGTTAATCCACTTTCAATGAACTTTGAAAACGGATTTTACTGTACACTTGCAAATGATCACTAAAGTACATTGGAAGTTGATCGAAAGTGCAGTAGAAAAGAGCAAGAGTCCGGTAGCAGCTTAAAGACTAACAGAATTTGTGGCGGGGTAGGGGTGGGGGAGCTCTCATGAGCCACTGCTTGCTGCTTCTTAAGGTTAAGGTCTTTGCTCCCTTCCAAGAGTTTTGAAAGCTGGCTTGAACATAACATAAAAGAAGCCAGTGTTGGATCAGGCCAATGGCCCATCCAGTCCAACACTCTGCCACACAGTGGCCAAAAACACCAGGTGCCATCAGGAGGTCCAGCAGTGGGGCCAGGACACTAGGAGCCCTCCGGAGCCCCCCCACTGTTCCCCCCCCCCCCAAAGCACCAAGAATACAGAGCATCACTTGCCCCAGACGGAGAGTTCCTGTATACCTTGTGGCTAACAGCCACCGATGGACCTCTGCTCCATAGGCTTATCCAATTCCCTCTTGAAGCTGTCCATGCTTGTAGCCGCCACCACTTCCTGTGGCAGTGAATTCCATGTGTCAATCACTCTGTGGGTGAAGAAGTACTTCCTTTTATCCGTTCTAACCCGACCGCTCAGCAGTTTCATGGAGTGCCCAGGAGTTCTTGTATTGTGAGAAAGGGAGAAAAGTACCTCTTTCTCGACCTGCTCTTTCCCAGGCATAATCTTATAAACCTTGATCATGTCCCCCCTCAGCCGTCGTTTCTCCAAGCTAAAGAGCCCCGAGCGCCTTGCCCTTTCTTCATGCATCTTTACTGTTTCGGGGTTTTTTTTCCGTAATCTGACCAAATTGCTTCTGACTTTTGTGGGGCAGCTCCGTTTGGCTCGCTGTTCCTCTTCTCGCTTTGCCTTTTAGTTTTCATTATTTCAAATTTGGGTTGTTGTTGTTTTTAAAAAAAAATTTCAAATCTCCTTGCAGCATTTTTGTGCCACTTTGAAGTGGGTGGGCAGCCCACAAAGTGCAGGGTGACTGCAGGGGTGGTTTGGATCAGGGCAAAGGCACATTGCGGGAAGGGGGCGTAACGTCCTGTATGTCATTGGCCTTGTCGCGTGAATGGCCTCCCCTTCCGCCAGTTTGGTGTCGTGGTTAAGTGCGCGGACTCTAATCTGGGAGAACCAGGTTTGATTCCCCACTCCTCCACTTGCACCTGGCTGGATGACCTTGGGCAAGCCGTAGTTCTGATAAGAGCTGTCCTTGAAAAAAGAGCCGTTTCTGTCAAGAGCTCTCCCAGCCCCACCTGCCTCACAGGGTGTCTGTTGTGGGGAGGGGAAGGGAAAGGAGTTTGTAAGCCGCTCTGAGACTCCTTTGGGTAGTGAAGGGCGGGGTATAAATCCAATCTCTTCTTCTTCTTCTTCTACCTCACAGGGTGTCTGTTGTGGGGAGGGGAAGGGAAAGGAGTTTGTAAGCCGCTCTGAGACAACTTTGGGTAGTGAAGGGCGGGGTATAAATCCAATCTCTTCTTCTTCTTCTTCTACCTCACAGGGTGTCTGTTGTGGGGAGGGGAAGAGAAAGGAGTTTGTAAGCCGCTCTGAGACAACTTTGGGTAGTGAAGGGCGGGGTATAAATCCAATCTCTTCTTCTTCTTTTACTTCACAGGGTGTCTGTGGTGGGGAGGGGAAGGGACCGGAGTTTGTAAGCCGCTCTGAGACAACTTTGGGTAGTGAAGGGCGGGGTATAAATCCAATCTCTTCTCTTCTTCTTATGTGAATTGGGTAGGGGGAGAGATCACCAATGCGCCCTCTGAGCTGTGGAGCCTTCTGAGCAAAAATTCTACTTCGTGAGCTGCTGGCATTAAAGTGGTGAGCGAGCGATTTGGCCACTGCATAAATTAGTCTGCTCTGGAGCCCTCCTTCCTGAGCCAAGACAAAAAGGTGTGAGCCGGAGGCTAAAAGAACATAAGAGACGCCAACGTTGGATCAGGCCAAAGGCCCATCCAGTCCAACACTCACACAGTGGCCAAAAATACCAGGTGCCATCAGGAGGCCCAGCAGTGGGGCCAGGACACTAGGAGCCCTCCCACTGTTGCCCCCCCAAGCACCAAGAAGACAGAGCATCCCTTGCCCCAGAGTCCCTATCTATACCTAGTGGCTAATAGCCACTGATGGATCTCTGCTCCATATGCTTATCCAGTTCCCTCTTGAAGCTGTCCATGCTTGTGGCCACCACCACCTCCTGTGGCAGTGAATTCCATGTGTCAACCACTCTTTGGGTGAAGAAGTACTTCCTTTTATCCATTCTAACCCGACCGCTCAGCAATTTCATTGAGTGCCCACGAGTCACACTTACTCAGCTAAGAGGGAACACTGGCGTAAGGTGTGTCTTGACCATTATGCACGTTAAAATTAGCACTGTATGGTCCTAGAGAGCCCTACTCCTGTTCCCAGGCACTGAAACCACAGCCACCTGGGCCAGCCCGGAGCCTCCAGGTTTCTGGGCCTTGTACCAGAGGCTTTCAGCTTCCCCAGGTTCTCCTCTGAGGTTATCTGCATGCACTCAGTAATTAACTCCAGGCACTAGAAGGTGGAAAACTATTCCAGCTTTAGTGAACTCCTCAAGTTACAGAGTGTTTCTGCTGGGCAGGAGCCCCTCTTAAGCCACAAGCTGTGGAAAATGAAAGAAAGAATAGGTCAGGGAACCCCGCCTCAGTCTCTCACTCACCACCGGCACTCCCTCTAAGCCAGGGGTGGCCAAACTGTGGCTCGGGAGCCGCATGCGGTGTAGTGGTTAAGTGTGCGGACTCTAATCTGGAAGAACCGGGTTTGATTCCCCACTCCTCCACTTGCACCTACTGATGTGACCTTGGGTCAGTCACAAGCTCTGGCACAGCTGTCCTTGAAAAAGAGCAGTTTCTGTCAAGAGCTCTCTCAGCCCCATCCACCTCACAGGGTGTCTGTTGTGGGGAGGGGAAGGGAAAGGAGTTTGTAAGCCGCTCTGAGACTCCAAGTGAAGGGCGGGGTATAAATCCAATCTCTTCTCTTCTTCTTCTTCTTTCACACCTATTGTGTGGCTGCTGGCAGGGCAGCTGGGGAAGCGAAATATCATTGGCAAACAAATATCATCGGACAAATAAATATCGTTATCAATATCTGCTTCTACCCCTTGTTGTTATTATTGTTGGCAGTGTCGTTTAATGTTAACAAAAAGCAAATCTGCGTGTTTTCCAGTAAAAACGTGTCATGTTTGTTCCTGTCTTGCGGCTCTCAAACATCTGGCGTTTATTCTACGTGGCTCTCACGTCAAGCGAGTTTGGCCACTCTAAGCGGTGGAGTCTCGTGAGCAAAAATTCTACTTTGTGAGCGACTGGCTTTTAAGTAGCGGGCGAGCGATTTAGCTGCTGCATAAAGTAGTTTGCTCCGGAGCCCTCCTTCCTGAGCTGAGACAAAAAATGTGTGAGCCGGAGGCTAAAAACCTACGAGCGAGCTCACACCAACTCAGCTTAGAGGGAACACTGCTCACCACTACCCCGCAGGAACGCAAGTTTTCTCATAACGAGCAGCTGCTTTTTTCTCCTGCTTCTGTTTCCCTTCTTTACCCCTACATCCCACGGAGCACGTGCGGGCTGGAGCAGGCCTCCTGGCGTCTGTTCCAGTCCTGCCTCCTTTCTCTGACACAATCATTGGTTCAGTTGGGATTTTGCATCTTACTGTCTTGTTTTGTTTTTCCCCCCCCCAGCACGGCACCTTGCGGGGACGGTGCCCTCTTTGACAAGTCCTGCTCTGACCAGGCAAATGCCGTGGGGGAGGGCCCACACCAGCCGCTGTTTGAAAACCCCAAACAGGGGAAACTGCGCACCAAGGTGGAAAACGGTGAGCACCTCGAGAGCTTTTCTGTCTGCCGTCAAATTGGGTTTGGCATCCTGGGAATTGCAGTTTTGGGTTTGAAGGGGTGGGGGGAGCAGGCCGTACTTGCGCTCTTTCAGATTTTTGGCACGGTTTGATTTTTGGCTTCCCGAAACAGGCGAAGGCACCATTCCAGTGGAGTCGAGCGACATCGTGCCAACGTGGGACGGGATCCAGCACGGCGAGCGCCTGCGCACCATGTCCTGCAGCGACAAAATCCTTCGCTGGAACGTACTGGGCCTGCAGGGGGCGCTGTTGTCCCATTTCATGCGGCCGGTCTATCTCCGCTCTGTCACGCTGGGTGAGGAGCGCTTCCTTCCCCTCAAAAGCAGTGGTTGGGTTTTCTCTGCCTCTTGGATTGTGAAACGAAAAGCTTTTTCTTCTCGGGGAGGGGAACCGAGCCGTCTGGGAGGGGCAGGGAGACACAAAGTCCTTCGAGTTCCACTTTCCTTTGCTTGCCAAGGGTGTGCTTCTGGCACCCTGGTGGGCATGTTCTTTGACACGGGAGCAGAAGAGGGTATTGTCTCTCGGTGGTCTGCAGACCCTTAGCTTCTCTGCCATTCTCTCTTTTTTTTAATTTATATTTTTTATTTAAGAATTTAATAACAATACAAGGTAAGTACAATAGATGTCTGCAGATGAAGTACAAAAGTAGTTTAGGAAAAAAACATTAATGCTTAACTATGTCCAGGCTGAAGACGCCAGAGGACTGTATTCCACACTACAAAGCATCTCTTAAGGCAGCAATCGTATAATAAGTACATATCTTTACAGGCAGATTTTAAATCAGTGTTCTGAAAGTAACTTCAGATATTATCTTCGCTCTAAGCCAAATAATGTTTCAGGTTCAAGTTTCAAAAGTATATCGTTGATTTGTATAAAGGATTTGCTGGAATTACATCAGATTCAACCGTATAGTTAATGAGTGAATAAAGGTAAAGGTTTCCCTTGCTCGAAAGCCGATCGAATCTGACTCTAGGGGTGCGGTGCTCATCTCCGTTTCCAAGCCAAAGAGCCAGTGCTGTCCGAAGACGTTTCCGTGGTCATGTGGCCAGCTTGACTAAACGCCAAGGCGCACGGAATGCAGTTACCTTCCCACCGAAGTGGTACCCAATTAATCTACTTGCAATCTCTTGCTTTCGAACTGCTAGGTTGGCAGGAGCTGGAATCCAAGACGGGAGCTCACTCCATCACACGGCACTCAGGGCTCAAACTGCTGAACTACCGACCTCCTGGTCTTCAGTTCAGCGTCTTAACCACTGAGCCACCGCAGCCCTGATGAGTGAATACCAGGATGCTATACATTTTTCTTCAGATTTGCTAGAGGAAAGATTGAGTGTGTGCTAGGTGATACTGTCGACATAACAAAGTAGTCCCAAATATGATTCTGCCAGGATTGGATCGTGGGGGGAAGTATGTGTAGCCATGCCGCGGCTATGGTATTTCTCTGCCGTTCTCGACACCGACGCCACGCCGGCTCCATCAATGCACCTCTTCCGACATGGTCGTTCCAAGTGTGGGAAGGAGGGGCCGCGCCTCTCAAGACTGGCAGAGTTGCCGTAAGTCTTTTTCTGGAATACCTCCTCCGTGCCTCTGAGACATGTCCCCCTCCTCTCTTTTCCAGGCTACCTGTACAGCCAAGGTCACCTGACAAGGGCCATCTGCTGCCGCATGTCGAGAGACGGCGACGCATTCCAGGCAGGGCTCCCGGAGCCGTTTTGCGTCAACCACCCTGAGGTACGTCCGCCCCCGCTCTCTCGGGACCGTCTCGCCTTGCCAATACACATTCAGTCGCCGTTTGGTCTTACCGGGTTAGAGAACCCGCTCTACACTGAAAACTTTGGGGTCTCCCCCCTTTTTTGCCAGAGACTATAACAAAAATTGCACTCTGGTAGTTGCAAAGGCCATCGTTCTTCCTTCAGAGGAGAGGATGGTTTACAGAAGTGGGAAGGTCCCTCACCTGTTCAGTGTAGGAAACCTAGATCCTGGTCAAGGTGCTGGAGTGGCCCTGGCTCAGTGGCAGACCCTCTACTTGGCGTGCAGTTTGGTGTCGTGGTTAGGAGCGCGGACTCTTAATCTGGGAGAACCAGGTTTGATTCTCCGCTCCTCCACATGCAGCTGCTGGTGTGACCTTAGGTCAGTCACAAGTTTTTTCAGAGCTGTATTCTCTCAAGGGCAGTTCTCGAGAGAGCTCTCTCAGCCCCCACCTGCCTCACAGGCTGTCTGTTGGGAGGGGAAGGGACAGGAGATAATAAGCCGCTTTGAGACCCCTTCAGGTAGTGAAGGGCGGGGTATAAATCCAAACTCTTATTTTTCTTCAGAATGCCCCAGGTTCAATCCCTGTCCTCTCCAGTTAAAAGAAACACAATAACATCAGAGGAGCCGTGCTGGTTCGGACCAGTGGGAGGGGCTTCTGGAGTTCTGGCCCCTTTGACGGACCTCCTGATGGCACCTGGGTTTTGGCCACCGTGCGACACAGAGAGTTGGACTGGATGGGCCCATTCGCCTGATCCAACGTGGCTTCTCTGATGTTCCTGTGAAGGACTCTTGTTCCGTCCTGTGTGAAAAAAGCAGAGCAGGCACCTTGCCGGTCCGATCCCCTGCGTCTCCAGTGAAGGGCCCGGGCATGAAGAAAGACCTTTCTCGGCCTGTGATTCCAGAGAGCTGCTGCCAGAGTAGCTGATGCTGAGCTGCACGGACCACCCACCCAACCTTCAGGGGATGGGCTGCGTGTAACCATCACACCTGTTTCGTACACGAAGATCCCGCTTATTTATTTATCGGCGCCTTTGTATCCCACCCTTTCCCCGTGGTTCAAGATGGCCGACAAAAATAGCTAAATCCAGGAGGTCAGCCGTGTTGGTCTGAAGCAGCAGAATGAACGCAGAGTCCAGCGGCGCCTTGAAGACCAACAGAGGTTTGTTCAAGATATGAGCTCATACCGTGAATAAACCTTTGTTGGTCTTACAGGTGCCCCACTGGACTCTAAAAATCTGTTAAAACGATCTCATTTTAGAACCCAAAGTCAACTAGCAGACGCCTATCGCCTCCGCTCTCCGCCCCTTCAAAGATACTTGCCAATTCACACCATCTCCAAAGCTTCGGCCAAGCAGGCAGGGCCTTGCAGCGCCTCCTGAAGTTCTTCAAGGGAGCCTCTTCCACAGAGCTGGAGCCAATACAGAACATCAGAGAAGCCAATGTTGGATCAGGCCAAAGGCCCATCCAGTCCAACACTCTGTGTCACACAGTGGCCAGAAATACCAGGGGCCACCAGGAGGTCAACCCATGGGGCCAGGACATTAGAAGCCCTCCCACTGTTGACCCCCCCCCAAGCACCAAGACTACAGAGCATCACTTGCCCCAGAGCCCCTATCTGTACCTTTTGGCTAATAGCCACTGATGGACCTCTGCTCCATATGCTTATCTAATTCCCTTTTGAAGCCGTCCATGCTTGTAGCTGCCACCACCTCCTGTGGCAGTGAATTCCATGTGTTAATCACTCTTTGGGTGAAGAAGTACTTCCTTTTATCCGTTCTAACCCGACCGCTCAGCAGTTTCATGGAGTGCCCACGAGTTCTTGTATTGTGAGAAAGGGAGAAAAGTACCTCTTTCTTTACCTGCTCTTTCCCATGCATAATCTTATAAACCTCGATCATGTCACCCCTCAGTCGTCTTTTCTCCAAGCTAAAGAGCCCTAAGCGCTTTAACCTTTCCTCATAGGGAAAGTGTTCCATCCCTTTTATCATTCGAGTTGCCCTGAGTGGTGGGACAGCTGAGAAATGGCCGCCTGACGCCCGTGGGTGCATGGGGACTCTTGAATCTCAGGTGGTTCCCCCCTTCTCAACAGAAACAGATAAAAACCCTTTAGGGGCCCAAGTAAAGCCTCATAAAATAATCAAAGGGACAAATGAACAAAAAAGAACCACACATGACCTGACGCGGTCCAGCCCACAAGAGCCTTCTTCGGAGGTAAAATAGTACAGAATACAACATGCAATAAAAAGCCCCTGTGTTACACTTGTAAGGCAGCAAACAATTGATTTGGAGAGCCAGTTTGGTGTCGTGGTTAAGTGCGCGGACTCTAATCTGGGAGAACCAGGTTTGATTCCCCCACTCCTCCACTTGCACCTGCTGGATGACCTTGGGCAAGCCGTAGTTCTGATAAGAGCTGTCCTTAAAAAAGAGCTGTTTCTGTCAGAGTTCTCTCAGCCCCACCTACCTCACAGGATGTCTGTTGTGGGGAGGGAGAGGAGTTTGTAAGCTGCTCTGAGACTCCTTTGGGTAGTGAAGGGTGGGGTATAAATCCAATCTCTTCTTCTTTTACCTCCCAGGGTGTCTGTTGTGGGGAGGGGAGGGGAAAGGAATTTGTAAGCCGCTCTGAGACTCCTTCGGGCGGGGTATAAATCCAATCTCCTCCTCCTCTTCTTCTTCCTTCTTCCTTCTTTCTTCTTTCTTTTTTCTTCTTTCTTATTGATTTTACTTGTATTCTCAAGACCTAAACTGGAAGGTACATATTGGCAATATTACTATCTCCGATATATGCAGTTGCTTCTGACACAAGGCCAGATACTTTGTGGCCCCGCAAAGAAAATTTTTTAATGTGTCATTCAATTCCAGATTGGGACATTCCATTTTGGTCCCAATATCGATTGTTTGCTCCCTTTGAAACGTAACAGGGGCTTTGTTGCATGTACTAATTGACCTCTGAAGAAGGCTCTCATGGGCCGAAACTCATCAGGTCGTATATGGTTCTTTTTTGTGCATTTGTCACTTAGATTATTTTACGAGGCTTTATTTGAGCCCCTACTAGGTCTTTATATGTTTTTGAAATAAACACGTGTGCTTTTGTCTATACCTATTGATGTTTTTAACTTTTGGCCCCTTTACTAGTTTTCTAAACTTCCTTTGGCGGTTTTTGCTTGGTTGGTTTAGTTTTTCTTCCCCTCTCTTTGTGGGTCTCCCTTTTGAACACCACAAGTCTACCTTCACAGAAAATGGTTTCCTGAGCTAACATTGTCCGTTCTGTCTTTCCCCGGTGACTCAGGTCGGCCGCGTCAGCGTCTATGATTCCGCGCGGCAGACAGGCAAAACGAAGGAGTCCAGCGTCAACTGGTGCCTGCCCGACGACACCGACGTAGAAGTCCTGGATGGCACAAAAGGCAAAATAGATGGGTAAGGGAGACTCGGCAGGGTTGGCACCCAAGTCTTGGTGGAGCAAGCCCCAGAGAGGCCCTGTGCCACGCGGAGGCGGGGGATTTCAAGTAGTCCCTTTATGGCCTTTGACAGCCTTTTTGTAAGCACACTCACGGTTCAAGGAGTGACGCTTAACAGAAACAAAAAGACTGATAGGAATTTGGGGCTTCCATATTTGAAGGGCCGGATGCATTTTGCTTGCCAAAAGTCCCAGGTACATGTCCAGTTACAGGATCAAGGTAGCGGGTTCGTCGGAAGTGATTAAAATGTGGTATTCGCTGCCAGAGAATGTAGTGATGGCCACAGGAATAAACAGCTTGGAAAGGGGATTAGAGATATTCATGGAGGATAAATCTATCAATGCCTACTAGCCATGGTGACTTAGGGGAACCTCCACATTCAGAGGCACTAAGCCTCTGAATTCCCGAGCCAAGAGGCAAAATGAGGGGAAGACCTTGGCCTCTTATGCCCTGTTGTTGGCCCTCCAGAGGAACTGGTTGAGGCCACTGTGTGAGACAGGATGCTGGACTAGAGGGACCCTCACTGGTCTGACCCAGCAGGGCTCTTCTGATGTTCTTATGAGGGGAAGGCCTCGGCCTCTCTGCCCTGTTGCTGGCCCTCCATAGGAACCGGTTGAGGCCACTTCTTCTGTTCTTTCCAAGCTGTTTATTCCTGTGGCCATCACGACATCCCCTGGAAGCGAATCCCACATCTCAGCCTTGGCACAGGTGTGTAGAGTCGCATGTGTCGCTGTACACCGTCGAGCCTCCTGGTCCTGTAATGTGAGCGTCCCTTTCAGCGAGGGGGAGAGAGCAGGCTGGTACCCCCCGTGCTTGTTTCTTAGTCGGAAGCGAGGGTGCTGCTGGGATCTCCCAACTTCCACACCGGCACCGTCTCGCCCCGGGGGCAGGTTGTTTTCGGAAGGGTAGCCCCTGTCAGCCTGCAGCAGGAACCACCGGGTTCGAGTCCAGCAGCCCCTTAGAGACCAACCAGATTTCCAGGGTGTGAGCTTTCGAGAGTCGAAGCTCCCTTGGTCAGATACAAGTAACTATGGGAGGCCCCCTTGAGCTGCGAGGGAACGCAAGTCCACAGATTCAGAACAGCGGACCCCCGGTCTGGACAGGGACATGGGGTTCTTATCCCACTCCAGATAACCGATTTTCTGCCCCAGAGCATTTCTCCACCGATCCAGTCAAGCTGGTTGCATACTGCATGATGAAGAAGAAGAAGAGATTGGATTTATACCCCTCCCTTCACTACCCGAAGGAGTCTCAGAGCGGCTTACAAACTCCTTTCCCTTCCCCTTCCCCACAACAGACACCCTGTGAGGTGGGCGGGGCTGAGAGAGCTCTGACAGAAACTGCTCTTTTTCAAGGACATCTCTTGCCAGAACTACGGCTTTCCCACGGTCACATCAGCAGGTGCAGGTGGAGGAGTGGGGACTCAAACCCAGTTCTCCCAGATTAGAGTCCGTACACTTAACCACTACACCAAACTGGCTCCTGAGCCCCTTCTCTGCAACACCCTTCCTGCCTTCTGACTGGGATATGAGGTCACGGAGAGCTCGCTTCCGAGTCACATCTGATCAGGGGAACTTTCACTCCCGAAAGCTCAATGATCCTAGGCCTATAATAGTGAGGCCTGCAGGCTCTAGGGAGGCCTAGTGGCTCCAGGGAAGCCTGTCCTAGAGTCGCTATCAGGCCCCACGTTTCCCAGGTCACCCTTTGGGCCCTGTGATTGGCTCACTGGGGATTTAGTGGAGGGTGGTGCCTGGGAAGAAAGGATAAAAGGCCTTTCCCAAAGTGTGGGAGGGGGGTTCTCTCCCCCAGGGAGCAGAGCTGGTGAGCGAGGCTCCCTCTAAGCTGCGGAGCCCTGTGAGCAAAAGTTCTGCTTTGCGCTCATCGTAGGATCAGTTTAGAGCATCCCTGACAAGGGTTGGTCCAGCCGCTGCTTCAAGACTGCCAGGGAGGGGGGAGCTCAGCACCTCCCTAGGCAGCCCGTTCCACTGCTGCACAACTCTTGACTGTAGAAAAGTTTTCCCTGAGGTCCAGCCGGTCCCTCCCCCGCCCTCCATTGAAACCCATTCTGGTGAGTCCCGTCCTCCGCCGCCGACAGGAACCGCCCCCTGCCCTCCTCCTCTAAGCGACAGCCCTTCGAAAGACTTCAAGGGGGCCCTCCTGCCCCCCCGTCCCCCAACCTCCTCTCCCTCTCTCCGCAGACCAAAACTGGACGTCTCCCGGGTCTCCAAGAGGAACCTCTTCCTGCTGTTCCAGGAGCTGTGTGCCAAGATGGAGGGCAAGGGGCCGCAGAAGCAGACGGTCTACTCGGAGGCCAAGGAGGCGGCCGTGGCGTACCAGAGTGCCAAGCGGAGCTTCTTCGGGGCACTGCAGGAGATGGGCTACGGGAGCTGGATCTGCAAGCCCCAGGAGGAGAAGTCCTTCGGTCTGGCCGAAGTCTAGCGAGCGCTGTGCTGGGGAGTGGGCGGGGGGGGGGTGGACGGACGGGGGTGTCTTTTTTCTGGCCGGGGGAAGGGAAAGGGACATTTTTTATTTTTCTGGGTTATCTTCTGAGGCCTTCCTTCCCTCCCTCCCTCCCGGTTAAATCGGCAGCACGTTTTAAACTCCACTGGGAGGGAGAGGGAGGGGGGTTCTCCCCTCATTCCCCTTAATTCCCCCCCCCCCTGGCAGACGTTGAGGGAGGTGTGTGTGCTCGAGAGAGAGAGAGAGATCCACCAGCATCCACACATGTTGTCTGTGTCCTCCCCCCCCCCCCAAAAAAAAACAACCCTAGGAGGCTGCCTCTTATTCCGCCTCACCAGCTCTCCGCCTTCCCCGAGGGGAAAGGAAATCCTGATCTGAGACTTCCCTTCAAGCTGTGAATCGGCTCCCCACCGCTCGAGGCACACCTCTGAGTCTTTCTTTCCCTTTCCTTTTGTGCACCAGCCGCCCAGTTCTCACAGCGCCTTCCCCGGAGCGTACAGAGACTCCCCTTCTTGGTCGGCCCGGTTGCGCCCTCGTGCTGAGCTCCCGTCGCACCTTCGGCCTTCCCCACCTGCGGGGTTGGGGGGGGTCCCCGGGGCAAAGTCCTGCTCCGTGGTCGCGCCCGCGAGGCCAATTCCCATCTCAGTCCCTGACCGTCTCGCCCAGAACTCCCTGCAGAATCCCTTCCGCCGCTTGAGTCCCCTCCCGGCCTCCCCCCCCCTCGGGCTCCAGATGTGCACGGACAGCTGCCTGGCTTATTTTTAGGGAACGGGTCAGGGCGGCCGGCTCTTCTCCTTATTGCTTAATAGAAAAACTGCGATGCCGAACGGGTCAATCCAGCACGAGCCCCGCTTGTGCGCTCTCCTTCCTTCCTTCCTTCCCCCGCTGCCCTTCGTTTTAAAAATAAAAGGATCCGGGAAGGGCTGTTCTGAGGAGCCAAGCTGGTTATCCTGCTGTGTTGGAAGAGCCACGTGGCCAAAAGAAGGGGAGGGTTTAGGAGACAATCAAGACGGGGCGACAAACTACCTTGTAGCTAGACTTCAGAATGAAACAGGGAATGGGCAGCCCGGTCGAAAGCCGGCAGAAACCTCTCCCCTTGGGGAATGGGCAGCCCGGTCGGTTTGGTGCTTTGCAGTTCCTTGCTAGTTAAGAGCGGGGGGGGGGGGCGGAGCTGGTGAACGAACTGGTACCTTTGCCCTCTAGGGTCATACGGCGAAAGCGCCTGGGAAGGATCCCCCTGCCCTCCGGGGAGACAGCAAACAGCTCTGGGGTCTGGCGAAACTGCTCAGGCCTAATTCACACACATGGAAGCTGAGCCGGTTGTCTTGGACCGTACTGCTCTGGATCATGGGGGAAGGGGGGGCCGGCGTGTTCATGGTTGACCGCTCCCATGGTGTGTGTGTGGGGGTGGGGGGTTCCCTTGTGTCTAGAAAACATGCTGGTCAGGAAGAAGGTTAGGGCATTGTTGATCTCACTGATGTGATAGGAGTTATTTTTTTAAAAAAAACGTTCAGGGAATTTTGCTTTGTATACAGTCGTGTAACTCCCCCCCCCACTCCCCCCC